GTTCCTTCTTCGTTTCTTCGGCGATCCGCTTCGATCAAACTTCATACTTAGCCATTTCATGGCTTTGGGACGAAACGCTTTGCTTTGATTTCGGTCCCAACTTCACACGGTCGGTAACGCACCTCTCCGGCTACGTTTCATCGCACATCTCTCGACCACCTTTCGCTCCCTTCGATTACGCCTCGATCGAACTTCGTTTTTTACTCCTTCCAACTCTATCGGAGTTCTTTTCTCACCCGTTCATCGATGATTTTTCATCCGGTCACTAGGTCAGGGTGAGGGTCACTACATTCTCCCCTCCTTATAAGAATTCGTCCTCGAATTTAAGCGCTGGTCTTTTCTCCTTCGCTTGACGTCTTCAACTTCTTAAACGCTACTTCTTCTCGGGTTTTCGGTTCTTCGCAGTCACCTCCATTGATTTTTCGACAATTCGCTTCTCGGCCTCCTTCGATTACTCCTTCTTCTTAAGACCTTTGGTTGGAGTAGTTCTCCATTAACTTCCTAGACCTTTTTATGACTCGATCTCCACCACTTAGGTTTCGATCTTTCTTTTCGGCAATCATCGTGAAATTTGGTTTCCTCCTTGGCCTTCTTTCGGCTCCGACTTCATTGAGATTTTACTTCTCCTTCATACACGACTCCAATGCTTTCTTCACTCACTAAAGATTTTCCGACTGGTTTTTCCCTAGAATTCTCTAACTTGATTCTCCGATTGAATCTTGTTAGCTCTCGGCCATCATGGGTTGAACTCCCCATTTTTTTTGAATTTTCTCTTGATCGCTTATCCTCTTCTTTTGGATTCGCCTCGGCTATCGACTTTCTTATCGATTCTCAGCTCCCTTTTTGGTCGTCGAGGTCTGGTCACCTCGTTTTCACTTTCATCACTTTGCCTCGCTGCCTTGTGCCTTCTCTGCCTCGGTGAGTCTTTACAACCTGTTGTTAAACAACAACACAACATCCAGCACAGCTAACAACACTAGCAAGCAAGCACGCAAGCTTAACAAGCTACACAGCAAATCCTAGAGGATAACTCTAAGACAAAGCAAAGACTCTACGAGGACTTGACAAGGACAATCCTAGCACGCAATCTAAGCACACAACCTAGCAAGCAATCTAAGCACACAACCTAGCAAGCAAAACTTCTAGGGCTCTAACACTAGCCTATCAAGGGTAAGGAAACTCTCCGAGAAAAGTTCTAAGGTTCAAGGCTCCTAGCATGCATCTTCAAAAGAAAAGGTTTCGGGTTCCTTACTCGGATTTTGTTAAAGGAAAGGTTTGGCTAAGAAGGCTTGGAGGGAAAGCTCGAATAATCATAAGAATATTCAACGCTTTGCAAGTACATCCGCTGTACAAGTCCAAGCTAACAAGGCTCCTAATTTACAGAATCTAGTCGATAAGACATAGATAATAAAGCTACCCTTAGCCCAAACCTAACAAAAACTTACTACCCATCCCTTACTAGTCGCGGAGACTTTTGCACTCTTCACAAGAGCAGAAGCTCCTCGGTTGCAGAGGCTGCTCCGGTTGTGGATCAACGGGTAGGACTGGTGTGGTGGATGCAGCCGACGATGGTCCAACTTCAGCGGTTGGCCCTCTAGCGATTGGAAGTGGGCAAGTAAACGAATAATGCCCATATCCGTGACAGTTAAAGCACATGACGTACGACGGCGTCACCGGAGTCAAAGCATCAAGTCTCGGACAGTTTATGGTTCGGTGGCCGATCGACCCACACGAACCGCAAGGAATGAAACCTGTCCGATGATTCCATGTAGAGTTCCTTACAGATTTTCGGGCGGATGCCCTCGTTCTTGGTCCTCCTCTTGCCGGTGGCTCCACAAAGCGTGGGACACGGCTTTCCTTCTCGTCCATCAATCTCGGCGCTTCCGGATAGGCTCTCCTTCAAGTCGGACTCTTGTCTCGACAAGATCTCCTTCGGCCACCATTTGGTCGACCAACTCCATCAAACGATCTCGGGGCTGATCTTCTCCAACTCTCCTTAGGCGGTACAACGAGGCTTCATTACTTAATTCTGCTTCCAACATCATCGGGTCGAACCTTGAAATTGGTTCTTCTTCTTGTTGCTCGGGCGCGTTGACGTTTAAGTCGGGCAACGCAACTTGGGTCTCGGCAGCTACTGGTTCACTTTGGTCGGATGGTCGGGCTCTCACTTCGATCGTCATCAAGGTTGGGTCGCTAGAACTGGTTGCGACAACTTCTAAAATTCCTTTTGCTTCTTCTTCTTCTTCGGGGGTAAGAGACTCGAATGACTCGGACGTCTCTTCCTTTTCTTCGCTGGATCGGCCTCCACTCGATCCTCCACTGCTTCCGCTGGCAACTTGGTCGTTCAACATTTCGGGAATGGCTTCTTCTTCGATAGGGTCTACATCTTGGGCTGCTACTCGATCATTTCCCTCTAAGTTTGGCACTTGGAACATCCCCATCAAAACTTCATTCGATGTTCCGGCTGATTCTCCCATCAATTCAGCCCACAAGGATGCTGCTTCGGGGTTGATGTCCATGGCTGGAAGGTCCATGAACTCGAGCAAGATGTGCTGAATCTGATCGGCAGCTTCAGCATCGTATTGGTCATATCCTTCCATCGGAACTGCTACAATCCTTCCTTGATCATCCAACATGATCTCAATCTCACTTGATGCTCTTTGGTTTACTTCGACTGACTGATCGTCTTGTTTAACTTGAACTTCAACCGGGGCTTCAAGATCTTCGGATGGATCCGTTTCCACCGATGACTCGACTTCTATTTTCACGAACAGGTTCGTGGCTTGAGTAACGCTAAACGAAGCGCTACTACTATCGGAATCTGCTGGCAACCATCCACACACATGACCGGATTCTCCATGAATCGACCTTCGTCCCTCATACCCCTTTCCACAACCAGACGCACCTGTAGACATCTGCACCGGACAAACAAGTAAGCTCCTATACTTGGTCTAGAAACGGAAAATCCTACATGCAAAACTAGTAGACAAACGACCGGAGCTAAAAAATGTTTTTGCGACTCGTTTACTCGATAAAACAATTTTGAAAAGCACGTTTCGAAATGGTTTTGCAACCATGCTCTGATACCACCGTTGTAACGCCCCCGGACCGTTTCTAAGGCCGGACGAGCCGAGAGACGACCCGGACGCGTTACTGAGGGCGTGGCCGGATACGAGCGACCGAGGTTCCCGCGGTGGAGTACGGGTAAAGCAGGATCCCCGAGTCGGATCGCAGCCGAACCAGCCGTCCCTCTTCGTCCGATCGCCGAGTCCGAGGCTTTGCAACCCCTATCTCGGACGACACGAACGAGGAGTTGTGCACTCCCATAGGCCCGGACAAAGCCGACGGGGGTGGAATTATATCAGCTCGAAAACGCCATGGTTTTTCCCCAAAAACTTCCTTTGATTACTTATGATAAAGTTTTACAAAACAAGTTTACCAAAGCGTTTTAATCATGGATCCATCGAGAAAATTATACATAATAGAAAAGTAATATTTTTGCAAAAAACATGAAAAATATCCTATCTCCGGCTCCTAATGTTTGCTACGGTCTAGACTCCTTATAAGAATAAACCTGCAAAACAAAATGAGCTTTGAGTATTCTAGCAATACTCAGTGAGCCGGATACCCCCAAATCTATCATGCAATTTTCCCCACCCCAAACCCCAAACAAACAAGCAAC